CTGTCCCTTCCTCCTTCTTCCCAAAGGTCTCGCCCACCTTCCCAGCAGCCAAACTGCCCTGCTCCTAGCAGCTCTGGGCTGCACACAAGCAGAGACACATGAACCTGTATCTCCAGCTATTTTGAGGACTAGCTGCTGCAGCCTTGATCTGTCCAACTGTTGTTATTTGCAAGGGTTTGTTTGGGGTTGGGGTTTAGTAGAAAAGGGAGAACTAACAGAACAAAGCTGAACTGACTCCTAGCTTGTGCAAGGAGAGGAAAATGGCTGTTATGTAAAAAAATTATTATTATTTACCAGGTTACTCCATTCCAACATCTCCCTGCTTTTCTGCTATTTTCCCCTGCACACCCTCCCAGCTATTTATTGGTGGTCTTCACAGCTGTCCTCGTATGCATCTCATAGCCAAAACCCAAAATACCTCTGTTTTTTGTACAGAACTCCCCCGCCCACTTCTCATGCAGATATAGTATTAAACATGGGCCCTCGGTGTATCCTTCCCTGCCTGGAGTAAGTATAGCCATCTCTTCATTAGGTACTGATATGAATAGACTGCTCTGTGTTGCTCAGTACATATTACCTACACCACTCTTCCCCAAACTGCAACCTCTATAGCTCTCATAATCCCTAACCAACATGGTGGTCTAAATATACCAGATGTTTCTGACTGAAGCTGCAGTCCAAACACTTTGGAAAGCATCCAGTGGGAGAGATTGATCTGCCCCGATTAAAACAGATCTTTTCCCAGTTCTAACTGGAAGTGCATGAGAGTGAGACTGGGATATTTTAATGTGCAGACAAAGCTGAAGTTGGTCACTAATTGTACCCCATTCCTGATTTTTATCCTAGGTTTTAAATCTCCTGTTGGCATGATAGGACACATGTGACTGTGCCTCATGCATAAAGAAATAACTGGGATTGGTCTCATTCATGTTGTGTTTCATAGTGTACTGTCCTGGAGATGTGAGTGTATTTGGTTCATGACTTGAATTGCTAAACTGTAATTGTCCCCTGGGATCATGACACCTTGTGTGTTGCATGGAAATAACAATGTTTATTGAAGAGAGCAATTGTTGATCTTCAAGAAAACAGTCTCATATTACTGGGACATGATATGCATGATATGGGTTATAACAAAGACATTCCAGATATCTTTGGATTACAATTCTAACTCACAGCAAATCTTGCCAACATTGGAAAAATATGGAGATGCAGTTGAACATATTTTGAGATTGCCAGTTTGGGGGATATTAGGGTAACCCACAGCTTGTTTGGGAATGTAGGTACATCATATACATAAACTTTAGGACCTAGGAACTAGTAATAATCAACTTCAGCATTGTTGGTTGCATTAAAATGTGTTTCGCCTGCTAGTGGAATTCTTTCCACAAGTGGAGTGTCATGAAAGTAAGCGAGGTCACAGAGTTACCATATACACATAGAGATAAACATACACACATGTACTGTATAAAGCTATTGTTGAATTGCTGTTTAAAATTCTGAATCTAAAGTAGTCCAACCCAGCACATGTGATTTTCTTGGCAGCACAACTTAGCTTTGAGAGAAGAGTTAAAGTGAGGACAGAACAGTACTAGCAGGAAAGTGACATCTTTGACTCCTCCAGTCAGGTGAAAAACTATAGAAGTCAAAGTGAAGTGGCACAAATCAAGCTTGACTCTTGATGACTTCACGGACACACCCATGTACATTTCTCAGCAATCCTGTGGAAATAATTTGTCATTCTCTTCTTTCAAGGCTTTTTTTTTTTTTTACTTCTCAGTGTACTCTACAGCCTAGAAGTACCTGGTGGTCCTGATCCAAAGACTAATCAGGCTCAGCTACACTTAGCTTCCAAAGCCAATTAGGTACTACCATCAGGAGCTGAAGGGTTGCTGTAAATACCACCATCAAACATTCTTCCATCAAGTGCACTTTGAAGGGAAGGTGGAGGGGTGATAACTTCCCTTTCCCCCTCCCTTTTTAAGCATTCTTCTTTGGTATCTTATTATTTTGAGAAATAGATCATAACTCTAACAAATGTTTTAGAAATACATACTTTGGGGGGATAGCCATGGTATTCTGGATCAGCTTGGGGGGCTGGGAGTGGGGGGCACTGAGTTACAGTGATTCTCCTCTTTCTCCAGGTCTGGTTTCAGTTGCTATTGGGCAAGGGAGTGTCTAGTCCTAGACCCCTGCTCTGCCTCAGGGCTCTCCCCTCTTCTCCTTAACATGAAGCTGCTGGGGGAGGTCATCCATCAACAAGAGAGGCAGTATCAATATGCTGATGATACTCAGTTATATATCACTGTTCCCAGCTGACCAAGTGAAGCTGTCTAGGTTCTGTCTCAGTGTCTGGAGGCTGTGGGGATCAGGATGGGGAAGAACAGACTTCCCCAGCTCAACCCTACCAAGACCAAGTGACTATGGGTTTTGGACTCCACAGTTCCTAGAACTGGAGAAATTTCATCTTTGATTCTGACCAGGATTGCATTATCCCCTCAGATTCAAGGTACAATTTGGGAGCCCTCCTGAACTTACAGCTCCTGCTTGAAGAGCAGGAAGCAGCATGGACAGGGGGACCTTTGCACAACTTTACCTTGTGCACCAATTCCTGGATGATCGGGCCCTGCTAAGGATCACTCATGCCTTAGTCATCTGGCTGGATTATTTCAATGGAGTCTGCATAGAGCTGTCCTTGAAGATATCTGGAAGCTACAGCTGGTCCGGAATGCAGCAGTGTGGATAGTTATAGGCAATCCTCATTATACCCATATAACATCCCTACTCCACAAACTGTACTGGGTTCCTATAGGCTTCTGGATGCAATTCATGATTAGAAACCCCTGTATAGCATAGGACTGGTTACTTTCGGGACTACCTTTTTGCAATGGTATCTGCCCATCAAACATCCTGTAATAGGAAGGGCACACCCTAGGTCCCTTCTTTGAAACCGTCTCATCGTGTGAAACCCAGGAGGCATGCCTTCTCAGTGGTGGCCCCTGCCCTTTGGAACAACCTCCTTCCCTCCCCAACATACACTTGACCTGGACCCTGCAAGCCTTTAGAGGGGCAGTTAAGATATGGCTCTTTCCTTGGGTACTTTCTTCAGGTTCTTCTCTATCTCATGCCTAGTTTGCCAATATCTTTCTGGTTCTTTAATCTGATTGTGCCTGTAATGTTAGCCTACCAGTCTTAAAAAAATGCCCGGGTAAGTGGCAGAACCTAGAGCTTAACTGTTCTCAATAACCAACGCAGGGTTAGGCTGATTCGATGGGAAGCCACCAGGAAAGATGAGGGCTGGAAAGACACCCCCCCTCCCAAAAAAATCCCTAAAGAAAATCAAGAGAAATCATTTGCATAATGGCTACCCAGAACATTTCATGGACCAGGAGTCAAATTCAGTTTGAAAGAGACAATACCCTTTTTAAAGGAATAGCAGCTTCAGAAGCCGAATATTGAAAAGGAAGCAGGGGGTCAAAATGTCAAAACGGTGGTCACCAACAAGTGATTGAAACCTCACCCCTTTTACATGTGTTACAATGCACATTAAAAGGGGTGGCATTTCAAGCGCATATCTTGACACCCACCCACCAACACCCCTCAAAAGCAGCATAGGGAAGGGCTGCTTAATCTTGTTCCAGTATGCTATTTTCCTCTTCCAAGTGTTCTACCAGTTCTCTTGCTTTGCTGAGTAATGTGTAGTATGGCAGCTTGCCTCCTTTGACAATAGAAGTGGAAATGAAAGAGCCCACCTGATCTGGTTTTCTATGTCCGAAAATGATGAAGGAACTGCTCTCTCGGGCATGCTGAGGTATTAAATAAATTCTTCCTATGAGGCGGCATGAGTTAGCATGAAGCTTTATGATGGCTTTCTTCAGCCAATCAACAGAGTTCTCTCTTTTATGTATCCCATGGAGGTGTGCATTCAAAATTGTGCCCACTGAATATGAAAGGAAGTTTGTTATCTTGTCAGGTTGGTCATGTTAGACCGATGCAAAGGGGTCCAAGTGAAAGAGATACACATTCCAACGTTTTCTTTTTATTTCATTAATCATTAAGAATACAATCAAGAGAAATCCACGTATTGTTTTATTTAAAAGAAAAAAAAAACAAGACAAGAAATAGAAGGCACTAGGGGATATTCACAGTGGAATCTTCCTTCCTCCTCAGCTACTTGTAGACAGAGGGGACAAGGAGGTGAAAGACCAAATCTGGTGCTTTGGTCTGTGCTTTCTAAACTACAACCCACTTCCTATCCTTTCTCTAAACCTTTTAATTCAACCTCCATTCATCACTTTCCCAGGATATACTTCCTCTCCATCTTTCATGGCATATCTTCACTAACTGGGACATTTAACTCGGGGTCCCCTATCCTAAGTCACAGAATTAGGGAGTGAATACTGGAATAGGATCCTAGAAGGCAACTGCTATCTTTAAACCCATTGTCCTCTTGCTCTGTGTTGTTCCCTCCTGGAACAGGACCAAGAAGGCCAGCAATTTCTTCCAAATTCTTTCACTTGCTACTAACCATTCAACACTATTTTCCTGAACTCAGGAATAAGTCCAGCATAATTCTCACTTGCTAAACCCAGAATCTGTAGTTCCTATCATCTCTATCAGTCATTTTATCTACAAACTGATTTTTCACTATGTAATTTTAGGGAGTTGTCTTAATCACCTTGCACAATGAGTGACTGTGTTTTTCTTTTTCTCCTTTATCCACATGGACCTTCCTTACTTCTCCAGGGAGGTAACATTAAACAAACAAAAAGAAGAAAGAAAGAAAGAAAGAAAGAAAGAAAGAAAGAAAGAAAGAAAGAAAGAAAGAAAGAAAGAAAGAAAGATGCAGAAAAATAATAACTGGTCATAGAAATATGTAACATTATACATCTAATTATATATACACAAACACCCAACATCCTTGCCAGGGCTGGAAAGA